GCCTTGGAGAACTAACCAGCACCCTGCGTGGAAAAGATTTCGTTGTCATGTTGCTTACTGGTCTCTGATGCCGCCTCTCCCACGTTTATATTGGCCATTTTGTTGGTAGGGGGGGCGGCTAGTAGTAGTAGTAGTAGTAGTAGTAGTTCTTCCATTTCTGGATGGCGTTGCCTAATAAAGACCACGTTGCTCTCATATCAGAGAGGACATCCTCTTGATGTACATGCTGTCCAGTGACATGTGACATCTATTCTTATGTTGTATATGCTTCGCAGTTGGTTCCCACTCGTGCGCTGTAGCTACCTCTCGACTATTTGCGGAATGATCACTACCCCGCACAATGGACACAGGCGAGGGAAGGCTGAGGCTAAAGATGATTGGACAATTCCTCAATGTAGTTGTTGGTGGTGTTTCTGTTTGAGCTGTGACTTAGGCCAACCCTCGGCGTGATGAAATTTTTTGTTTGCTGGTATGGTCAAAGTTTTTGGTTTCGTGAGTGCACCTATTGAAAACGGTCTGGAAATGGTATCAGGTACTCGCATCTCTTTCCTTTTTGGCATGAAGCGTTGAATACAACACCACGAAACTTCAATGTGCTACATGGCTTTCATTTTGCGGCGTTTTTTTTTTGAGAGTTCGATACTTGTACTTGCCATTACCACAAACGGTGTCGCCTTGTTGTAGAACACACTTCCATGGAGGCTGTTTCGCCACTGAAGCCATCGGCTGGATTCTTTGACAGTGAAGCTTGGACGGCTTGGGGCTCAGCAGTTGTGCACAGTAGCGAGAGGGCTTGCTGGAAGAGATTCACTCCGCTGTTGGTAGCGGTCGCAGCTTGGCACCTGACCCCACTGGGCTTTGCAAGCGCTCTGCGTGGTAGGTGCATTTTTGCTCCTGAATCCTGAAGGTTGAAGCCATCTCAAGTGCATCAAGGGTGGATTCAGGCCAGCAACAGCAGTATTGCACGAGTGAGTACAGGGAGGTTGTAGCCCCAACATATCTCCAGCCACACCAGACACAGGATAATGGCAGCAACGCAAGGGATCCTCTGCAAAATGCCAGGAGCTGGACGACCGTACTATCAGTTGCGGCAACCTGAGAAACCCAATGGCATGGTTGGAGATGCTTTCTGGTGTTAAATGACGAAGACGCTGCAGTTTTGAGGTTGAGGGCTGGTCCCCGCGAGAAGTTGCATTTCAATCCGCAGGTGGCCCGCCGAAAAGCTCCACACGTTTCTTGTTCCCTGCTTGTGATGAGATCCTCTTGCTGTTTGTTGACCAAAGGCCCGAAGCGTTTGGGTTGATCATGAGCTTAATTTTGTCGAGCGGCAGACATGCTCATGCTAAGGCGTCAGGGGGTGGTTCTTTGTCGAAATAAGTGGGCTGCCATCACGCGCCCGGGTTCACGGCCGCATTTGCTAGACTCACCGTTGCACCAGCAGGATGCCACGACTTGTGCGGCCATAGTCACTTGTGGCGGCCTATGCCCGGGTGAGAATGTTGCAATTCGCCTGCTGCCCGGAGTTCATGCTTACTGTTTACATGTCGCACACTCGGCTTGATTGGAATTTCAGTTTGGCGACCTCTCCGGAGTCATTGGCTCACAGCCTTTAAACTTGATCTCCAGCAAGCCTGAAAGATGTTTCGCCTCCTTATTGATGCGAGCCTATTGGCAGCTTCTCGCCTCTCACGCACAAGCAATACAGCAAAGAACAAGCTGTTGACCCAGGTTGTGCTTGGCATGAAGTGCCCGGGCTCCCCGTCCTTCTTCCACGCTTCTGCTGAAGTTTTGGACTAAGCGGAGCTGTCCTTGTTTGTACATTCTCAACATTCAGAAGTTTGAGAGCTCACAGCACAAGCGGTTGAGATTTCAAACTTGCAGTCTGATTGTCCAAATCGAGCTTTCCATTTGCCTCTGCGCCGAAACCAAGGTGGTAGCAATCGCCGACGCGAGCTGCGCCGACGTCAAGGAAGAGATGCTTGGGCGCGTGCAGTCATCGCCATGGACGGATCCACACAATGCTGGCTGCTTTGTTGCATGGCCATCTGTCTTCTCTTCGATTTTTGAGTTTTCTCGGGAGCAAGCCGGTGAGCTTTCTCAGGAACCTACTCGGTCTTGCCCAGCAAGTTGAGCAGTCAGCTGGAAGCTTGATCAGACAAGTGCTGGAAGTGCAATCGTTGGGCCCCTTTGGAGCCAGGCTGGCTCTTGCCAACTGCAAGTAGTTGCCCAGGACTTCTCTCGGCTGACAGGGGACAAGAAGTACACAGACAAGCTGACCATCACGCTTGCCGATGCGAGCGGAAAGTGCATGTGCCTGTGACTTCAGCAGAGTTCGAGGATGCACAATGATGAGTTCCAGGCATGTTGCCTAACTTTCGGGACCTCCGTGACAGCAACTCTCAGGATCATGGGATGCTCAGAGTCCCAAGTCTTCTCCATCTTCGACTTTTCGACTAATTTCTGCAACTTGCGGACTGACTCCCATGCATGCTGAAGGGTTGCAGGAGACAGTGAAAACCACGATCTTGTGCAAGTTACCTTTCCAGGAATCTTTATTGTGGGCCATCGGATGGTTGTCAGCCTGTGTGTCTTTGGCTGCAACTCAAACACAGATGCTTTTTCCATAGAGCACTCAGCCCAAGGGTGTAGCGCTGCTGAGGAAACATGACTTTCGAGTGGTTGAGTCAAGAGTGACAGCCTCTCCGGGTGCTGGTTCGGATGCGAAAAGCTGCATCACCACGCTTACTCTCTAAGTTGGGCAGGGCCATTGAACAGGTCCGGCCTAGACTGCCCATTGAAACCACCGCTTGCGGGGTGGATTGCATGCGGAGTGTGCTGCTTGCAGCATAGAGAGCTTGCCACACGAGCTGGCTCTCACTAAACCAGCTTGCCTGCAAAGAGGCCAGAAAAATAAAAACGCGCCTTCAGTCGCACAGCTGTCTTAAAGTACCTAGTGCTTTCAGATTGGGGGTCTGAGGAAGCATCTTCCACATGCTCAAGGCTTACGGCGCCAATCTGGCTTAGTTGGAGAGAGATTGAGGTGGGAAGAGAGAGAGTGAAAGGCGCTCCCTCTTGTGGTTACGGACAACTAGCTACAAGCACTAAAGCCAGGAAAAACTGTCTAGACGCATTCAAAGGGAAGCAGCAGAAATATCCCTGTAGAGTTGTTCACGTGAACTACCTTCAGCTAGCTGAACCCGTTTGCCTCAATCTTCTTCCATCATTGTGATCACGCATTTTATGACGTGGAAGGGTTTGGTGCGCCCCTGGAAGATGGGTCAGATCTTTCCGCGGTTTCTGGTGACACGACATCATGTTGGGAGCGTGGCCGGTGAAAAGGCTGAAGGTTCTCATCAGGCTGTCTGTTTCTTTTGGGACATTGGCGAGGCATGGCGGGCCATCCCTTCTCAAAAAAGAGGCAGCGTACATCAGGAATTGCTGGGGCAAGCCTGAAAACTGGTTAGAACCACACTGGCTGCTTCAATCAGGAGTGGCTCTGAGGGGTCGCCCTTGCAAGCATTTGGGGCCCGAGGGGCATCTCCGCAGCTAGACGGGGGAATGGCTCCGAGAACGCGGCAACGAGTTTGGGGCACTGCTCTAGCGTGGCCTTCTGGTGAAAACCATGAAAGAAGGAGGGACAAGGTCCAGGCCGAGAGAGAGAGACTGCTCGGGGCAATGCCCTGGTCTCCCTCTTATGAGGGGGGCGAAGCAGTGAGAAGAAGAAGAAGAAGGGAGCCCACTCCAAGAAGACAGTGGCAGCTCCAGTTCCCTGCACAGGCTCCAAGTGCACGTACTGTTAAAGGTGATACACGAACAAGATGACCAACAACAGGCTCCCACTACAAGCACCAACGACCGGGTGATAGAGTAGCACATGCGAGACTTGAGATTGCAGATTGACCGCGGTGGATCCTGATTTTAGCTCATCCCTTCAAATCGCTTCCCTCAACACACGAAATCACATGAACGGATGCAAGTCCGCTGTGACGCAGGAAAGGCAACATGGGCGGGCAAGCCTCGTAGAGTACTACCACTTGTGTATCAACCAGTGCCACTATGTGCTAGTCAGCAGCGAGGGTAAGCAGGATGCAGGCAACAACAGGTTGTCATACGCAGTTCCATGATCCATTGTGCGTGGGGCCATCATGACATTCGAGCTTGCTGAATGCGCACCAGCCAACGCCCGTTCAAAATCTGCAAATCTGAGCGCTCACCAAGCTGCTCAAGGTCCCTGGCACTGCCGTCTCCAATTCTCCACGGCATGGGGAAATGCTAGAAAAGCATTGTTGACATGACGCAGGTCACGCCACAAGCAGGGCTGTAAGACTCCATACATATATACCCTGTTTGTCCTGCTCTCCCCAGTTTAAGGTTCCTTCCCTGTTGCTTCCTTCCCTACAGCTCTACTCAAGTCCGTTGGCTGCATTGCCGGAGTACGGACCATGCGGCTCGTCACGATGCCACCAAGCTTTGCGTGCTAGAACTGAAGTTTAAAGTACAGCGCTGATCTCTGCATCTACTTTACTTTGCACAGCACACGCCTGGGAGAGGCGTTGCAGGGAAACTCCTTACGATCATCTTGTTTCCATGAACGTGCATCATGATTTGCTGTCAGAGTTCTCTTGCAGCGAGGGCTTTTTCAATCGAAGTTCAGGTAGCTCTCTGCGAGCCAGTGTTGCACTCCCGCATTTGCGGCCAGTAGGCCGGGGCCGGGTCGTGCTTGTGTCCATGATCTGCATCTTCCCCAATGTGCCCTTGCCGTTGTCTGTGGCAGCGAAGTCTGTTCCCCTTCTCTGTTCCTTCATGCCGTCACCAATTCCTCTTACCACTTTGGCTGTAGTTCTGCTTCTCCTTCTCCTTCTCCTTTTTCTGCTTCTGCTGCTTCTCCCTCTTCAGACTTTGTGTCCTCTCGTCAGGGTGCACTGGGCTAAGCCCCTAGCTCCACTGTCACCATGTCACTTGATAAGCACAAGCAAGGGCCGGGACATTGTCGAAAAAGGTCGTCATTGTTGCATGGCATCTCATACCCGCATTGTTTGCGTACATAATTTTCTGGTGAACCGACCCCGCTGTGTTTCTTTCCTTTGTCCTGTTGATGGGAAGTGGGGACTTCTCACCTCCGAGCAAGTGCCTCAGAGTTGTGGGCTCCACGCATCTTGGAAAATGGTACTGGGGCAAACCCCTTGAAGCAGTCCCCTCTAGCACTTATATGGAGTTTCCCTAGGTGTCTACTTGCATTGCGTCGGCCACCCTGCTCACTGGGACCGACAATTTTAGAAAGCAGCCGCCGCAGGGGCTCCAGTCTATGTGTAGGTAGGACGCCAGAAAATGCAATGACAAGCTATATAGGCCAGATGCCTACGGCGAATGCATGGGATAATGTAGGAACAGAAGCTGCCACTGCGACTGGACAGCCCTCGTGGTCCACCGCTTGCAAGACTTCGGCGCCCTCTACGCGTAGATTAGCTGTATCCATGACAGGGTTCAGAGAACACTGACAGATGAAGCGTTACAGCGACAGCCGTTCTTGTAGACACGACAGACGACAA